TAGAAGAGATGGACAAGTTTCTAGAATCACAAGACTACCTAAATTATCCTACTCAGAAATAGAAAACTTGAACAGACCCATAACAAGGGAAGAAATTGAACAGGTCATAAAAAAACTTCCCACAAAGAAAATCCCTGGCCCTGATGGCTTCACTGGAGAATTCTATCTCAAATATTCAGAGAAGAGGTGACACCTATGCTATTCAAGCTATTCCAGAACACAGAAAAAGATGGAATACTCCCAAACTCATTTTATGAAGCAAGCATAACACTAATACCAAAACCAGGGAAAGACAACACTAGGAAGGAAAACTACAGACCAATACTACTCATGAATATAGATGCAAAAATCTTTTACAAAATCCTGGCCAACAGAATCCAACAACATATCAAAAAATTAATACATCCGGACCAAGTGGGATTCATAGCAGGTTTGCAAGGGTGGTTCAACATCAGAAAATCAATCAAGGTAATCCACCACATAAACAAAACAAAGGAAAAGGGCCATATGATTATATCAATTGACACAGAAAAGGCATTTGATAAAATCCAACACCCATTCCTGTTCAGAACTCTCAGCAAAACAGGGATAGAAGGAAAATTCCTCAACATAATAAAAGGCATATGTGCAAAGCCAATGACCAACATCATTATTAATGGAGAAAGACTCAAGGCATTCCCCTTACGAATGGGAACCAGACAGGGATGCCCTCTATCACCACTTCTATTTCACATTGTATTGGAAGTCCTGGCCAGAGCGATAAGGCAAGAAAGAGAAATAAAAGGCATACATTGGCAAAGAGGAATTAAAGCTATCTCAATTTGCAGATGATATGATATAAAACCCAAGGGACTCAATAAAAAGACTACTGGAACTAATACAGAGGTTCAGTAAAATGGCAGGATACAAGATCAACATACAAAAATCAGTTGGATTTCTCTACACCAGCAAGGACTCCTGATAAAGAAATAAGGGAAACTATACCATTCACTATAGCTACAAAAAAGATAAAATATCTATGAATAAACCTTACCAGAGACACAAATGACCTATACAGAGAAAACTGTAAAACACTGCTACAAGAGACAACAAGAGTACTACATAAATGGAAGAACCTGCCTTGTTCATGGATAGGCAGACTTAACATTGTGAAAATGTCAATACTACCTAAAGCAATCTATACATTTAACGCAATCCTGATCCAGATTTCAACAAATATTTTTAAGGACATGGAAAAACTAATTACTAATTTCATATGGAAAGGAAAGAGACCTCAAATAAGCAGAGCACTTCTCAAGAAGAAAAACAAAGTGGGAGGTCTCACACTCTCAGATCTTAAAAACTACTATATAGCCACAGTAGTCAAAACCGCATGGTATTGGTACAATGATAGACAGATAGACCAATGAAACAGAATCAAAAGCTCAGACATAGACCCATCCATCTATGGACAACTGGTCTTTGACAAAGGCCCAAAGCCCATTAAATGAGGAAGAAATAGCCTCTTTAACAAATGGTGCTGGCAAAATTGGATATCCACCTGTAGAAAAATGAAACAAGACCTTTACCTCACCCCATACACAAAAACAAACTCAAGCTGGATCAAAGACTTAAATGTAAAACCCAAAAGTATAAAATTCATCAAAGATAAAATAGGGGCAAATCTAGGAGCGCTAATTTATGGCATAAGTAGACTGTCAAGCATAACCCAGAATGCGCAGGAGATAGAAGAGAAGCTA